TGTGTGTGTGTGTGTGTGTGTGTGTGTGTGTGTGTGTGTGTGTGTGTTTGGTGGCAGAGAGTAGCTTTGGAAGAATCAAAGGAAACTAAGTAACAGTGGTTGCCACCTGGGGACAGGCATAGAAAGGACACTATTTCACTCTCTGCCTCTTGATTTTTGTGCTATGTGCATGGGTTACCTGTCATGAAAATTAATAAATATTCCTCCAAAATACTTTTATAAGCAGTGAATATAAGAAAGACAAGATTTAAAAAAAAAGACAAGATTCATGGCTTCCAAATATCCCACATGTAGAAAGGCATAATTATTTTTTCTTGACTGATTTAAAAAAAAAAAAAAAAAAAGCCTGTATCGTCTGTGACACTTAAAGATAAACCTAGACTTTTTCTGGTTTACAGCAAAAAGGAGAAGTTGCCTCTCCGTCTAACCAGGACAGCCTGGGTGTAAGGGGGAGACTGGGGTGAATGGAATTGCAGTTGCCCAGAAATAAGCAAACCTCCAACCTTTATGGAAAACCACAGGTCCTTAGGAAAGCCTGACTAATGAACACTCAGCAATTGTCAAAGAAGGCAATGGTAACAAAGGAGAATCTAAGCTAATTTTGTAAGCATTTGGAGAATAGGGTTCTTCTTCCTGCATTCCTCTGATGGGGCTCTCCAAATTCTTCACCTCATTAAAATATTCCTTTATATAAGGCTAATTATGAGAATTAAAAGAGCTGCTTAGTACAGACCTGGGTTTCTATGACAACAGCAAAATAAATGCCCAAGTGTCTGAAGCATTGAGAAAAATAATATACACTAATAATAGGTAACCCTGTGAATCCTTTTAATAAAACAACTAATTGAGAGCCAGCTACTCTACATGTTATAACAAGAACGACTGTGGAGATCTGCATACTTCTTAAAACCTAGCAAAACATCCTCTGTTAAAGTCACTGAAAGGATTCTGAGTCAAAATACATCCTACTTTAGGAGTATCATTGAGGTGTTCCAAGCATACCTGTTGTGGAAGAAAAGATAGTTTTCCCTTTTACATTACATTACAAACCTGTCTCTTGCATTCCCTCCCTCCCTCCCTCTCGCTTTCTGTTTTGTTGAAGTGCCTGCTGAAATCCTGGCAGGGGTGACCCTGGCCCCAGGTCAGGGCCTGCCCCAGAGCTGTGTGCAAAAGCAGCAGGGAACTTGCTCCCTCGTGCTGCATCTGGTTCCTCTCCTCAGCATGGAGGATGGACTCCACATGGGGAGCCCTGAGATGGGCCTTTTCGGATTAATGTTCTCAAACACACATTCTTTTCTGAAACAAGTTATCTTCCAGACTTATTGCAAAGCAAATGGCATGATCCTCTATATTCATTTGCTATGGCTTCCATAACAAAGTACCCCAGACCAGGTGGCTTACACAATGGATGTTTATTTGCTCACAGCTCTGCAGCCAGCAGTCCAAGATCAGGGTGTCAGTGGGCTTGGCTTCTTCCGAAGCCCCTCTCTTTGGTGTGTGGGTGGCCATCTTCTCCTACCTGTGTTTCCCCATCATCTTCCCTTTGTGTGTGCCAGTGTCCTAACCTCCTTCCCTTATAAGGACACCAGTCATATTAGATTAGGGCCCACCCTGAAAACCTCATTTTAACTTAATTACCC